ACTTTGGACAATAAAGCATATTTGATTTGATTTTGATTTGATTTTGTGGACGTCGCATATAAAGTGAGTCTTTGATATATCCCCACAAAGATAAATGTAGTGGAGTAATATCTGGACTTCAAGCTGGCCATGGTATTGGACCCTCATTTCCAATCCATTTCTCATTGAAAGTATCATCCAAATATTGGGTACCCATTCTATTATTATGTGGAGGTGCCACATCTTGTTGAAACCACATATTCAGTCGAGTTTGTATTGGTAAATTTTCCAAGAGATTCGGCAACACATGTTGTAGAAAAAACATGCACCTCTCCCCATTGAGAATTCCTTTGAAAAAATAAGGTACTATCAATGATTCAGCATCAAACATTAACCCCACACACAGGCTGAAATCTCGTTTCTTGCACCCGATGAGGGTTCACTTCAGACCAATAGTGACAATTATGTTTGTTTATAATACCGTTGTTATGGAAACGGCTTTCATCACTCCATGATATTTTTTTCAGAAACTGATCATCATCATGAATACGGGTGGACCACCATGTAAAGAAGTTCAATCTTCTATCAGCATGTCCTAAATATGCGAATATATTTTAGTTATTAAAAATGAAGCATGATTTTTACCTGGATGTAGTCCTTGAACCAAATGTATTTGAAAAAATACGTTGTATTGACGATTTCGAAATTTCACAATTCATTACTACTTGTCTGTGGTTCCAATAACATTCAACCTAGCACTGCAACACTGTGATTCTCATCAGTAGCCGCTTCCGTTCATTGAAACATCCAATTCCTGCCAAAGATTCGGCAAAGCCAGCGAATGTTTTATCTGACGGTAATTTTCTGTCAGGATACCGATTAGCGTATATTCTCACTGCTTCTTTTGAATTTCTTCTTGCTTCGCGATGAATACATATCCTATCCAACTTTTCTGCATTTGAAAATTGAACCATTTTTCAATTTTACGTAAAACCAACACAAAACTGAATACACTTTCGTTAAATCTGACAGGCCTTCTGACGGATCAATAAATACAATATTGCATTTATTTTGACTTATTCATGACCCTCTTTATAATACGCAATAAAATTGCCTTTTTTCATCAGTATTCAAGAAAACCTACAAGTTTGCTGAATTTAGAATTTAATGCAGAATCCAAAAACTATTTAAAAAAATTGGCGTCGCGACACCGACGCCAATTTAAATAGTTTGACACCCTTTGACATCAAAATTATCTGCTTTCACGAAATATGGATATTTTTTTCATTTTTTAGATATATGCCCGCGGATTTTTATATGGGACACCCTGTGTATTGTGTATTGTCTTAAATTATTTCAGAAGAGACTCGCCTACAGGGAAACATTTTGTTGTAGTTGCTGTTCTGAAGCGATGAGAAATCCAGTTATGATCCCACCCTCAAATTCTTACTTTTACTTCATGATCAATAGACAAAACTATGAGAAATGAAACAATTCACAGCCTTTGAAGAACTCAAAGCGGAATTCATTTGAATTTCATTATAAAAAGCAGCTTGTAAATGAATAGAGCAACCACTGAGGCCCCATAATGATTCTTCAAATCCGAAAACATTCCCGAGCTTTCGCATAACATGATAATCCCGGCACTTCTGAATTGAAACCAGCCAGGGCAACCAACGAATAGAAAAAAACCTCGGCACTACTTGTTAATCCGGCTCAACATCAGATTTTGTAATGGCTTTCATCGCGGCTTTCTGCACAAACGTGGATATGTGCATGCCATTTAACTTTTGAAGTTTCCTCATAAATAATTTCCGTATAAATTCATTTCTCTCTGGTTTTCATATCAATTCGGTGCTTTCTGCTACACGGAGGGACTGAACGTTTCGGGCAAGTCGAATAACTGACATTGTAGTCTGGGTTGCATTCTCGAGGAAACATTTTAATTGAAATGGGCCTCCTTTCCGACGAAATTAGTGTTCAGTTTGAGAATGCGCCACGTTAGGAAATTGCGTTCAAAGTGGGTTGTATTTATGTGTCGAGTTCGGTCATTCTATCCAACGAACTCGTCTTATTCAGTATTGTGTTCAGTTCATGGAAGGGAAGTTGAATTATTGCACGCCACAACTTTCCATTGTCGACAGTTGACCTTTATCGAGAGAGTTCTTGATCACCTGTACACTATTGAAGTTGTCCTTTTGTGTTTCCAAAACATATGACGGAAGTTTGTCGAAATTTTGGTTCAGATTGATTCTAGACATATAGGTCATTAGTTTCATTAATTATTCAATTTACTACTTCATCAGAACTACGAGTACTTTACATTTGGGAAAGAAATATTCGAACGAAATATCATTAGGTATTGATGGGATTCGTGGTATAAATACAGTTTCCTGTTTCGCACACCCAGTTAACCCATTAACGCCCACCGTATGATTTATCATACACAAAACACATGTGCATTTGAGGTTAAGTAAACATTGTCATATAGTGCATTCTGCACCAGTTCTTGTCAGAGCCTGTTTTTGAAGGTTTATTTCATTTATATTCAAAGCCTGTTGAGCGAGATTTGTGAAATTTGGGTTTTACAGTTGTTTTTGTGATAGTTTTTACTGACTGTGTTCTAAAATGCCATTGAGGTAAGTTCTTTTCGGTGGAATTCTTGCAAATTATGTCCTAGAGTATTTTTTATAAGCTATACACATAATGTAAATACTAAGAAGTAATATCCTTAAGAGCAGTGGGACAACTCGGTAAAATTATTCCTTTTTTTTCAATTCTTAGTCACTGTATGATATATCATACGTTGGGCGTTGGTGACTAGTTTTTCCTTTTTTACAGAAAACAATTTTATAACCCAGAAGATCCTCGAGATGCAGAAGAGTTGCTAAATTATCTTGAACAATTAAGTTCTGATGACGAAGACTATGAGGAAGTGCAACATGCTCAGAAATTGGAGCTAATTCTTCTTCCTCCCAACAATGCTGCCGATAGTGACAAAGACGATGCTCCGAGCGACGAAGAAGATGTAGGTACCATCCGAAGCATTGGAAAGGGAGTGCTCAGAGAACCTATGGAGGTTTTTAGCGTTGATGATGAGAATGTGAAGACACAACTAAATTTACTGCCACAAAAACATGTTAGTGATACCGACCTTGAAACATCCGACAGTGAATCTTCGGAAGATAATAAACCGCTAGCCATTTTATTCGCTAAGGAGTTGAAAGAGAAAGAAATCAAAAGAAACATCAAAAAACGTCAGTGGAATACAGTCAACTTGAAAACAAGAAATGAAAAATCAAAATTACCCGTTACACCAGAACCAAGCTTTGTTCAAACAATTAGAGATGANTTGCAACCAGATTTTTATACTTAAAACAGTAATAACTAACGATTTTTTTGAATATTTGAGAAAAAAAATTAGCTGGGCTTTAATGGGTTAATATAGTGGCTTCCACTATATTGCGATGTAACGCAGCATAATTGAAGTGCCCACACGCAGAATGAGCTTATGACAAGGCAAACCTGACAGTTTCAATGAATATAAAAATTCCACAGGGTAATTAGTAGCGTCATCTATCACCACAAGTCGCGTACAAAAAAACATTTCAAAGTGTTTAGAATGTAATGGACAACTTTTTCAGCATTTATTGTGAAAATGTGATAGTTTGTTTATAATTTTGTTATTTTGAATCATCCTATTCTGTTATTGTCTGTACATGTTTTAGCCCACAAAATCTTACTTTTTATCTAGAAATGAATGATTTTTGGTACAGTTGTTTCCTGGAAACTTTGAGCCATAGTTAAGGAAATTATTTTGTAACCTTACAAACTTCCTCTCGTTCATTGGTGTTAATTCAGGATACATTTGGTTGAATTTTCCACACGTTCTGACAATGATTTGATCACTTTGTTCATGTGTATAATAAATAATTTCATAAGAACTTCGTTTGAATAATCGATATTTGCATTCATTTTGGAAGATGATTCGAAACACCGTCGATAACTCATTGTAAATTACTTATGAAAGTAACCGAACTGCTATAAGCTTGATAATTCCACTGCTACTTAAATCCAAACTCTATAAAAAAATAATGTTTCTAGAAGAAGCGACTTTATTGAGAAAACTTGACGATTTAGGTATAGGGACATGATATATCATCTTGAAGCATGTTTTACCATCTGTCAATTTACCGAGTAATATACAGGTGGTTCTATTTGAAAAAATGAACTTTTGACTACTTTTATGCACAATGGAAATAATAGTAATTTTAGCACGCCCTGTATGATATGGAGCCGATTTCTTGGTGTTATTTGAATATTTCCATGAATTGAGAGTACTGATGTACTTAATTTCAATTAAGGCTATGTTTTGGACCATATTTAGCACAATTTATGTTTTATCTCGAAAACAGATAGAGATAGGTATAGGATATTATCAACAAAAAAGTATTAAAATACCAGAGCGATTTCAAAAATGTTTTAATATACGGGGTGTTCTATTTAAAAAAAATTAAGTTGCTAGGACTTTTTGATGGAAGTGGCAACGCCGCCATGCTGAAAATATTTTAGATCGATAGAACAGGTAAGGAAATGTGAGAGGTAGAATTTTCAGAAAAATCATGCTCTGCGTTTTCCAGAAACGTCTAACCTACCATCGACCGTGAGTCACGCTGTATAGTGATATGTTATTTCATTCATTTGCGCTCATATTGACATAGTTACTCGTCATCAAAATGTGTAGATCATGCAAAGAAGTGACTTTCAAAAATAGACTGAAAGAAGAACTTTCTCGAAATAATTTCTTCCATATGAACAGTGAATTACACGAAAGAAAATATACTTTCGAAAGAAATATTTTTATATGAAAATTGAATTATACTTCCAACTTTTCACTTCTCCGTCTTCAAACGAAATAAATGTGGGAATGTTCTAGAGGGAGGAAGAGAAAAATTGATTCAAAAACAATATAATATAATATTATAATTTTATTTTGTTGCAAAATCAATATTTGTGACTCATTCATGTGTTGTTAGTGAGTAGAGTCATGTTGTGTGATATTTTCATCCATCTATGTCTATTAGTGATATATCTGTTCATATATGTTCCAATAATGGAAAAACAGTAGAAAATTAAACATCAGGTGATGAATCAGAAGTGACAGCGAATCGCTGCAGAACCAATAATTATAATTCATTTAGGTGCTGTTAGTGAGCAGAGTAACATATGAATATGAAGTCTTCAGGATCTGAAAAAAAATACTCATTAACTTTACATCAGAAAATTTATGATCAACTATATTCGAATCATCAATCCAGTATTTCTCGGCATTACTATGGATCAAGAATTGTATTTGAAACTTTTTAAATTTTCTTTCGGTGAACTGTTGAAACTATTGATAGTATGGTTAATTGAGGTTAGGTCCAAAGTGAGTGGGTCTATTCGATCCTCCACCGCAACCAGCAATGGTTTATTGTGACTCACACCTCGTCCAAATAAATCCAGCTTCTCAACGAAGCCGACTAGTTTGTATGGTGAGTGATCTTTCAGGTCAGATGGTAAGAGTATGGTTCTGCCGAACTCTAAAAACCTGATTCGGTCCCCAGCGGGGCAGGCTGCTCTGCAGTCTGTGCATATGATGATTCAAATGACAGTGTCCTGTAAGAAGCCCTTTTAGATATCTTAGTTCATCTCTACTGTTTGATATCAAGCTTTGAAAGGTTAATGAACGCCTTGGAGTGAGCCAATCCTGGAAGATTCTGCCAGAAGTCTATAAATATTCTTGCCATTCAGGTGTCTGGCCAGTATGGACAGAAATCCAGACCAGAGACAATCTGTTGAGTCTTCCTATCGAGAAGAGTCGTTTTTGGCAGTTTGCTAACAATTTATACATTGCTAAGTAGGAGCCGGGAGCTTCCAAAGCTACTTGACTGTTCGAGAATATTTTTATTGACTTGTGTCTGAGATTATATTCTTCCAAACTCTCTCCACAAAATTCAATAGCGTAAATTTCCAATTGAAATACAGTCGCATAGGTTCCTAGGCAGGTTGATATCTCTGTCCTGGGTCTGCGACTGAAAACACCTACACCAGAACCAGAAGATGTTCTTGATTCATCTGTGAAACAACAACTATCTGCTCTTGATATTTTCTTCTCCCGAAGGATCCAGCCCTCTCTACTAGGGAACATTACTTTGTACGGCAGTTCGTAGTCGACAGTTGGAGGCATGAATTCAGACGTAATTTCTAGAATTCCGGGACTTCCAGTGTTAACAAACAGTCTGTTGCATTCTGTTGATAGTATGGGCTTCAACTACATTTTTCATCTGAAAATTTTCTCAATAAATGAATTGGTACGACTAGATTTTCCCGAAACAGTATTCAATCCATTACGTATATGGCCAATTTTGACAAATATTAAAGTCAAAGGGACATTTTTGTATAAAAAGTTTCATTAAGAGAATTAACTTTTGTGAAAATTATCAGCAACGCAGGAAATCAAATAATCTTTCATTATAGATATGACTCATCACCAATTGAAAACAATCGAATACGCAACGAGAAGAAATTCGGAAAAATACTCAAATGGAAAATTATCAGCTTTCGTTTCATTCATTTTTGTAATTAAATCACAGATGGTTGAGTATTTTCCCAAATTTTTTCGACTATCATCAGTTACCATCAGATACAAGGCATAGTTTAGTGTTCCCAGTGGGAGGGCATCCAGTTCCATCGGTTTTTGAGTACGAATCAATATGAAAAGGAGATCTTTCCTGGTTAGAATATCTGCCTCGTACCATTTCATGTCATAAACAGCTTCAGCTATGGATTCTGTCTGAAATAGTAGAATCGTAGATCAGTATTCTTCGTAAAGACTGAAATCCAATAACAGTTATATTTCCGTACTTCTCAGACATCAACCATTTACATTCATATTTCTTAAAGCATCAAGAAATAAACATCAGTTCATCAGCTATAGGAACTCATCGTCAGCTATTGAACACATAACAACAGACTTTTAGGTGTTTTCAGGAGTATTTTTCAGTATTTCTATGACTTGAGACGGAAATAAAACCATTTCCAAACTTTGGTGGTTGCTGAAAATATTTATAACCCAATCTTACGTTATCAGTTATCATCTGGCCAGCATCACAAAGAAAAAACAAAATAATGATCCAGCCTATGAGCGTACAGAGTGCTCCCACAGGATTGTACTGAAAAATGGAAAAAAATTACCAACAATGAAGCAAAAAACAACGAATAGGTAAAAATAAAAAATTAATTAGTATAGTATCGAATGTACTGTGAAAAACCCACAATAAAGCTTTATTTGAATACGTTTTAATGGATGTTTATCAAGTTTCGGCCAGTTAGATCACATTTATTTTGTTTTTGGCCAGAATTCTATATATTTATGTTTCATAGATGTTATTGGTTCTTGTGATCTTTACTTTTATATATTTTTTTTGAGGAAAGGCAAGCTTTTACTGTTGAGTATTCAAACGGAAGTGATCTGAGTTTTATATAGCACTTCTATGATATACCTAGTATTTCTTTTGCAAGATGTGCTATTTCACGTGTTAGGAATCACACGTTAAAAGGTAAGACCTCGTTAGTCCTTAGCTCGCACAAGTTTCTTAACTTCTGAGAGTTGTCGTTCGTATGGGGGCGGCAGCTGATTAACGGAGAAACAGATTTTAAACAGATTTTTTTCATAAATGAATTCATGATCGTGATGACATTGACCAGAAAAATTGAACCGTGACTGTCATTATTATTGTCACTTTCGTCATTGAAACTACCTTCGAGATAAAAATAATCATAATTTTCTTTCGATCACATATATTTCAAATTTCTGCGGTTTTGTGAAAGCTATTAAATAGCAAAACACGTGTTGTGGTTTTAGAAAAGGTAAGTGTTTAGCAAAACACAAGTTGTGTTTTCATGAAAGATATATTATAGCGAAACACGTGTTGTGGTTTAATGAAAGGTATTTTGCATGGAAACACGTGTTACGGTTTATAATAGGTGTTGTATTGCGAGACACTTGTTGCGGTTTCATGAAAGAGATCGTATAGCGAACCAAGCGCTGCGGTTTTATGAAAGGTATTGTATATGGAAACACGTGTTGCGGTTTTATAAAAGATATTGTACAGGGAAAAATGTGTTGCGGTTTTTTGAAAGGTATTGTATATCTTTAAAAAACATGCTGCGGCTTCATAAAAGCTATTGTATAGCAAAACACGTAATGTGATTTCATACAAGTTATTGCATAAAGAAACACATTTTGTGATTTTATAAAAGGTATTGTATTTCGAAATATGTACTGTGATTTTATAAAAGGAATTGTATATCGAAACATGAGCTGTGATTTCATAAAATCTATTGTATAGCAAAACAAATATTGCGATTTCATAAAAGGTATATATTTCTGAACACGTGTTACTGTTTTATAAAAGGTATTGTATAGCTAAACACGTGTTGCAGTTTTATAAAAGGTATCGTATGGCGAAACACGTGTAGTGGTCTCATGAACGGCTTTGTTAAGTGAAAATCTATCAATTGAGTGTCACTTGATGACATTCCATCTATGTTTGTTAGGAATATTACTCATTTTGATACTTCAGATTATGTATTCATCAGAATCAATTCGTTAATAGTAATTCAAAAACTTCAAATGCAAACGCAAATAACGATTTGACATTTTCATTGAAATTGATTTTCTGTCATTTCATAATTCAGTATGTATTCAATAAGATAGATGATGATATAGAATGGGAAATCTTCAAAAATTATCGAAATCTTCCAGAAAAAGGTTTGAATATGACGTCGTTTTCAATGCTCATGTTCGCCATCAACACAAAAAACTGTAGTAGAATGACAAATTAATTCAAAAAAGTTCATTACAATAGTGCAAAGAAAAAGCAATTAATCCACTGAATATAGTTCGATAAAGTTTCGTTTTGTGTATTTAGGTAGAAAATATATTTTCATTCGGAAAAATTCTGCAGGACAGTAACAATAGATGAAAACAATCAAAATGAGAATGGAAGTTTCTGTTAGTTTGTGTGTAACAAGATGCCATATTTTTTGAAAATTGACTCACACTCAGATTGAAAATAAGTACTTACATTACTGAATGACTGATTGATACAACAACCAATCGCAAGTGCACTTATCAATGTCATATGTCCCATACATGATTTTACTTCGCTGTTCTGGTCTTCTATGATTCTAAAACAGAATTAAATGATCTTTTCAATGACATTTGGATGAAAAAGACGTGCAACAAGAAAATAAAGTTAACGAGTTTCAATAAAACTGTTGAAAGAACATCATCTGTTGACCACTACTGACTGCTGATGATGCAATTTTCAATACATTTGGTCCATGGAAATTTTGAGAACCAGCTAGAAATATGCTTGAATATGTCAAATTGAAATTGTTGTAGTGGTACATTCGTCAAATTCAACAACTTTATTCTTCGACACAAATCACAACTCAACACTGTAAGCCAATTAATTAATTTCAACAATCCCCTAATCCATAAATCGTTTTCCAACATACTTTCAACTAATATTTTGCACCTACTCACCCTAAAATTTCTTGATGATATCCAATCCAACTCTTCATTTTCTGCCGTCTTTCGTCAACCTGCTTTTCTTTCAATATGAGTTGAGAAAGTTCTTTCAGATGACGGATTCTTTCACAAAGAAGTTGCGCTGCTTCCCAGTTCAAGAAAGGTATGACAACAGCTGAAATGTATGGAAAACTACGCAATTAATATTGATTTCATTGAAAGACTATTTGATTTCAGGAGTTTTCGTTACCTTAACCTTCATAACAGTCTTGACATTTGTAAAAACATAATTTTTCTGTTAGGATCTGTCAACTTACCAGATACTGGTATGGAGAAAGAAGAAATAGCCTGTAAAGCGAACAATACCATCTCACCCCTAGGAGTAAGCTCGAATGGCAGCCATGTAGGTAACACTACTCTACAAATCTCATGAATTCCTTTCTCATCATTGATGCGGAGGCAATCGAATATCCCGTAGAAGGCCATGAGAACATAGATGAAATAAGCAGCCACGCCGTAAGCTGTACAAAATTTTGATATCTTATTGCAACGTCTAATAGTTTGCTTCAAGTCCATAGTGATTCCGTATTTGGACAATCCGATGATTTTTTGCATCAGCAAAGTCCAGTAGTTGCTTCTCAAGACAAATTTAGCTCCTATAACGATGAGACCAAATTCTGCTGTGACTAAGGTTATGTCTTGGGAGATGTCAATGTCGTTGCCTTCTGCAAATCAGAGTACCTCAACTAAATTACTTGATTTCTATTCGATTTCTGAAATAATTTACAAATTTATTTTCGGAATTATTCTTATAAACCAGTTGTTTAGTTTAACAGGTATGCCTACGAATAATCTACAACTGGAAGTTGAATCGCTTCGTAATTTGAATCTACCACGGCTGTGCCACCGCACGCGATCAGTTATTGAACATTATTACGTTACAACTTATTGAATAAGAGCAAGAGAAATCTTTATTGTGGTGATATATCAAACTACCGCTAATACTATGTTTTCAGCTCACCTTTTTTGTTCATAACAAGATGCAAAAAACTTAGAAAGCAGCAAAGTATGAATTGGGACAACCTCAAGAATGAACTAACTATTAGAAAAAAAGTCATATGACTCTTTTGAAAATCATTGGGGTATACCTGAAACCACTTGAGGGTTTCAGTAGTAGAGGAAAATGCCTCTTCTTCATTTGACTCGAACATATTAGAAATAACGGTAGTGTCTTGAAACACACTGAAGTAAATGCCTATTTGAATTCACCTTTATGAAGATATAAGAAAGGGAATTTTTCATTCGCAAATTTTTCCTGAAGGAAAATAATAAGATATCATTAGAGAAACTCCTGTTTTCTGTTGTTTCCTCCTATTATTTCTGTTATCTCATATTAACTCATATGAAATTGCAGTAGTAATAATGTACATGCTTATGTATGTAGATCAAAAGAAAGAACGGATATTGAAACTTTCATTATTTTATATTGTGGTGAAATATTCATCAGTACTCTGTCGAAGTTCAATATTTTGCTTATCTTCTTCTCATTGATTCATTCACACAGCGACTCCTGGAGGTCTTATTGCGAAATAATTCAATATTCCAATAAATACTCCATATTTATCATGTTCGTCAGTTATATACTTGAACGGCACCAGGACTGATTGTTATAAATACCAATGACTTACTTAATTGAAGAAATAACTAACTAAATGAATCGAGGATATCTGGAAACTACTGAAAATCCACAATGCAACAAGAAGTGGAGCCTGAACTTGAATAGGAAAAATATTTGTTTGAAAGTGGTTGACAATGTTTCCTGGTGTATTTCATCTGTTCGGACTTCCATTGTCTAATATAATATAAATTGATTTGAAATCCCTGAAAAAAATAAAAATAAAAAGAATAACCGAAAATAACAATTTTATCGAAACAAAAAACTGAAATTACACGGAAATAACGTACATGCTACAACCAGGAAATAAAAAATTGAAATAATAATGAAAGCTGAAAATTAAAAAATATTATTAACCAAAAATGAGAAATAAAAATAAAAATAGAAATTAAAAGATTCCAAACCAAGTTACGTCACGTCTCGATTGTTATTAGTATCCACAATCGTCTTCGGGTGATAACTGGACTTATTCCCCCCCCCCCATGCCCCTCCCGGGTTGTGTGCCCAGGTCGCAAGCTCCCTCCTTACGGAAAAGCTTCCGCAGGTTTGGACCTGGCGACCCTTTCCTTCCACCCCCGTTTCTTAAGGAAACGGTCCTCAATCCAGCTGCTGGCACTTCAGCAAGATTGATATCATTGACTAAATGCGTTGTTGGACAACATATACGCGGCTTCCTTGAATTTTCTCCTAAACCAGTGTTTCTCTTTGTGGATGATTTCAGCTTGAGCCCATTTGATATTATGTTGATGAGTCCAAACATGCTCTGCCATTCCGGATTTGCTGGTTTTTCCTCGCTGTGTGTGTTTCTTGTGCTAAGCAATGCGAACTTTCAATGGCCTCTTAGTTTCACCGATGTATGATTCTCCGCAATCGCAGGGTATCCGGTGAATGCAATTCTTAGAATCGCAGTCCGCATTTGGTGGCCTGGTTTTTGTGAAGCTGCTAAGGATAGTATTCTCAGATCTGAAACAGGTCCTGATGTTATACTTGGACCCAATCTTTCTTATCTTTTCCGATAATCTCCTGATGTAGGGAAGTACAAGTACTGGTTGTGGCGGCTTCTCTTCCTTGTGGAGCTCTTGCTGTCTTCTAGCTAAAGCCTGTTCTACCATCACTCTGGAGTAACCATTCCATTGAAGGTCATTTTTGATTATGCCTATTTGTTTTTCGAAACCTTCCTTTGTATTAAAGAGCTCAAAAGCACGGTTTAGTAGAGTCTTGATGATTCCTCTCTTAGTCGATTGATGGTGGTGAGATTTCTGGTTCAGATACTGTCCTGTGTGAGTGGGTTTTCGATATACAGATGTTTCCCATTTAGTGTCGGTCCTCTTCACCAATATGTCTAAGAAAGGCAATTCGTTGTGGATTCCCTTCTCCATTGTGAAAGTGATGGAAGGACTTACGTTGCTGATGTGCTTCAGGAAAATGTCTAGTTCTGCATTCCCATGGTTCCATATTATGAAGGTGTTATCAACGTATCTCAACCAGACTCGGGGTTTCTTGTGTGCTCCTTCAATGGCCAGTGTTTCAAACCACTCCATATAAATATTAGCTATAATCGGTGAAAGTGGCGATCCCATTGGCAGTCCCTCATTCTGCGTAAAAAATTCGTCCTTCAGTTGAAAGTAGCAGTTTCGTACACAGCATCCTAGTAATTCCATGATTACTTGTATCGGTAAATTTTTCCCCATATTCGGATAGCTTCTTCTGTATGATTTGAAGTGCTTCTTCGACAGGAACGTTGGTGTAGAGGCTTTCCAAGTCGAAACTAATCAGTAGATCCTGCTCTTCGACTTCGATTTTCCCTAGTAGAGATAGAGAGAGAGAGAGAGAGAGGGGAAGGAGAGAGAAGAATATCCTTATGTGGTCATCTCAAATCAAATTACAATATTTTCTGGGATATGTTTGCTCATTATGTGATTTTTTTGTTGATAAAACTATTTTTGTTCCGTCAGCAAGACAGTTATACAAGTAATTCTTCCCTGCAACTGTATACCTCAATCTTTCATTCGTAAAAAAAATATTTCATTCCAAAATAAAATTCTTGAAAATGAAAAAATCAATTGAAAAATTTGGGAACTTATCGGATTGAAACTGAAGTCCTTCTCATCATATGGGTATTGAATATGGTATTGATTTCTGTTTAAATCGAAATCAAATTCTGATTTGTATGAAAAAATTTGGAGCTGGGGTTATTTCTAATAATATTGATGAATATTGTAGAAAAGAGTAGCTTGTAATATCCTCCAAAGCACGTTGGACGTTGTTCACAGTTGTTGCTTGAGGGAGCAGATGTCTGTCAACCCCAGCAAAACTGTGTTAATCCCTTTCACCAAGAGGAGGAAATTAGACAATCTAACGCCACTTTCCCTCAAAGGTGAGGTCATTCCATTTGGAACGGAGGTGAAATTCCTTGGCATTGTCCTTGATGAAAGACTCAACTGGAACGCTCACTATAATAATAATAATATTTATTCACCATTTGTGATATATAGCGTATTATATGGTAGGTCAATGATTATTTACAAAAAACAGTACGTCACTTATGAATAAAATTATGGAATCAAAGCTTAAATAAAAATTAATATTGCATATACAAAGGTATAGGTACATATAGATATATAAAATGCCGTAGTCAAATATTTTTAACTTTCTTACTGAACAAAGTTGAAGAATTCAACCTCTTTATAGAAAGTGGCAGTCTGTTATAAAAATTTATGGCATTATATAATGAAGATTTTTTGAAATGATCACCCTTATGTAAAGGGACCCTCAGAGCAGTAGCATGGCGAGTATCACGACCGTGAATGCTCGAATTCGTTATATACAAGTCAAGGTACCAGTGCACAAAAATGACACATTTTATTATATAAATTGCGGGTGCAGTCAACAAGCGTTCTCTTTTGAAAAGGGGTCTACAACTTTCTTGGTATCCCAGGTTGAATATCAATCTTATCAGTCGTTTTTGAGAGATGAAAACTCTAGAAAATTCCTTTGCACATCTCCAAGCCATTATGTTGAAACTAATGTGGGAGTATGCATTCGCAAAGTGAACATTTAGTAAACCAAACCTATCTAAACAATGTTTTAACTGTTTGATCGAATAATAAGCGGAATTGAGTTTACTGCACACTTTTTGTATGTGACTTCTCCAGGTGAGATTCTCATCTGAAATAGTTCCAACAAAATCAACTTCTTTTGATATTTTTATGTCATTCAAAGTGACTAAATTACAACAGAAATCCCTCCTAACAAATGTTTTCATCAGCACTGACTTGGAAAAAGTTTTACACAAAGCCAGAATAACTCTATGGACTTGTCGAAAGATTTGTGATAAAACTTGAAGTTTAGGTCCCAAACAAATCCTTTGGATTTATGTGATGATTGTCAGACCAATAATCACTTATGGTGCAATTGCTTGGTGGCCGAAGGCTTTACAGCAAACGGCTCGAGCGAAGCTCTCTGGCTTACAGAGGCAGGCTTGTCTGGCTGTCAGTAGTGCCATCAGTACCACACCATCAGCGGCCATGGAAATTCTTCTGGATCTACCTCCTCTC